CTTATAAAGAGCCAGTCATGGTGATGGGCATTTGTAATCCCAGCACTGAGGAGGAAGAGACAGGCAAGTGTCTGTGGCCTGCTGCCAGCCAGTCTATCCTAATCATTAGGTCCCAGACCCCAGTGAGAGACCCTGACTCAAAAACAAACAAACAACCCAAGATTGACCTCCAGGTGGATGCATCCACCTGGGCGTGTGCACCCACATATGTATGCACACACACACACACATGCTACACCTGTAGCTCAGAGATAGAGCACTTGTGTAGTTTGTGTGAGGTCTTGGGTTCAGTCTCCAGTACTGAGAGAGAAAGAGGAGGGCCCTGGAGAAGGAAAGGGGGGAAAGACGAGTGGATTATACATTAATCCAGTAGCTTGGTAGACAAAGTCATTCTTAGAGTGGGCTCCAGTTCAGGTGCATGGGAGAATATTAAAAAGTGGAAAGATCTGGGCTGAGAGAGTTCTTCTCACTTTTGCATCGTCCAAAGAAAAAGCAGGCCGGAATGGCTGGTTACCCAGGATACCCAGCTCAAGCTGAATTTGTATCCTCTGGACTTGTGGACCAGATTTTCCCAGTTCGCATCGGAATTTTCTCTCCCGACCTCTTCTCTTGTCCTAGGTCCCTGGGATGCAGGAGATTCTGCTCCTTGGCTTCTACCAGCCTGATGAGGCCCTCACCCAGTTCCTAGAGGCTGCCCAGCAGGAGTTTAGCCTTCCAGTCAGGTGTTTGAACATATATATGTATACATATGAACACACACATATACATACATACATACATACATACATACATATATATGTCATATACATGTCTGAGTCTCGAAGTTCTTGGGAATGGGTTGAGTCAGCATGTGCCAGGGTTCACCCCATACCCAAGGGATTCTTATTTGGGGCATCAGAATGGCTTCACCTGAGGTTTCTCTGCAGGCCCTGGCCAGAAGTACTTCTGACCAGGGCAGCGGTGTTGGGGGAGGGTGTGTCAGGTGCACTGGCTCCTGGTACCTCACTGAGCTGTCTGGGGTTCCTGGGAACAGGTACCTGCAGGAGTTTGCCCCCCTCGGCACTGGGGGTGGTCTCTACCATTTTCGGGACCAGATCCTGGCGGGGGGACCTGAGGCCTTCTTCGTGCTCAATGCCGACGTCTGCTCCGACTTCCCCTTGAGCGCGATGTTGGAAGCTCACAGGCGCCAGCGCCACCCTTTCCTACTCCTCGGCACCACCGTGAGAGGGCTTGGGGGGGGGGCCGCAGGCTGTGGAGAGAGAGAGGCCAGGGGGGGGGCACCCTGGGTCTTGGAGGAGGAGTGGCTGATGGGAAGGAAATGGAGGTGTCATTGGCAACCCCGAGCCCTTTGGTTGCTGGGAAGCAGGGAGGGGGGAGGGCAGCTGTCAGCTCTTGACTCTGCCGAAGGCCTGTCAATGTCGGAGCTGCGTGCCAGGTGCGAGAGGGGAAGGAAGGGAAGGAAGGGAAGACAGCCTTGGCTGCCCTGAAGAGGGCAGGTCACTGTCTGGGCTCTGTCTGTCTCTCAGGCTAACAGGACACAATCCCTCAACTACGGCTGCATTGTTGAGAACCCGCAGACGCATGAGGTGAGGGCAGGGCTGGGCTGGGTACCGCCTTGTGAGATCGGGGGCCCCGTACCGTACACCTCCAGAGAATGCTGAGACCACTTTAAGGTGGGGCCCGTCCTGTCAGACTGATAGGACAGTTGGGGTGCCACCACTGCCCCTCCCCTACCCTGGGGAATTGTCTTGTAACCCTTTAAGAGAGAAGGACTGGGAAGGGGTGCCAGTTCATTTCCCTAGGTGTGGTGTTTTTCATGAATGCACGCATGAGGTACTAGGGAACACAAAAGAGAGGCCCAGCCATAGCCTGAGGTAGGGCCTTCCCTCAGGAGCAGGGTGAGCTGAGTTAAACTTGAGGAGATGAAGGAGACTGGAGGTTTTGCAGGCGGAGAGAGCAGTTGGTGCAAAGACAGACAGGAAGTGCGTGGTGCCCCGTTGTTATTGAGGTGGAAACAGTCCCTCAGGCAAGAGGCCATTGTCCCCGTTTGCGAGAATCGCTGCCCCGAATCTCACTGGCTTTGACACAAAAACCATTTTATTCGTTCATAGTTTAATATATATATGAAACATACGTGTAATGTACACATGTGTGCATATGTGCATATGCAGTTTTGAGGCAGACACCAGCTAGACAGGAGAGAAACAGGACCATAGAACACATTCTCCACTGCTCAGGAAACCGCAGTCTAGCAGGAAAAAGAGTCAGAAGCCAATCCTTGCAAATGGCACAGTGTCCCGGGTGAGGTATGACCAGACCAGAGGTCAGGGGTGACAGGCCTGAACAGCTAAGAGGGGCTGGCAGGGGAGGACTGAGGAGTGACAGTGTCATCTGGGTTTCAGAAGGTGGATTTTCCAGAGGCAGAGGTGGGGAGGACATCCCGGTGGCCTGGAAGTGGTTCTCCTGGAGTTAGGGAGGCTAGAGCAGGTAGCCCTCTGGGGATGTAAAGCCAAAGTAGGGGCAAGGCGTGAGCTCCCCTTTGGGAAGTTGTCAATAGAAGGGGCCCGGAAATGAGTATGAGATGGCGGTGGTGGTGGTGGTCGCGGCCTGCCCTCCACTCTGAATTCTGCTTTCACCTCCCTAGGTCCTGCACTATGTGGAGAAACCTAGCACCTTTATCAGTGACATCATCAACTGTGGCATCTACCTTTTCTCCCCAGAAGCCCTGAAGCCTCTCCGGGATGTTTTCCAGCGGAATCAGCAGGATAGGCAACTGTGAGGCAGGCTCCATGACCCTGTGACCCCCACCCCACCCCCAACATCCTAAACCCGGACCCCTCCCCCACACCGGGCTCTGCAGTGACCATGTCACCCCGCTCACCCTGTCTCCCTTTGCCCCTTCCCACTCATCTCCAGCTAGGCCCCCCTAATCCTTCCCTTCCTAACCTCATTCTGTCCCTCTTCCTTACACGTCCCGGCTCCTCCTCCGTCACCGCCTGCCCATTCCCCTTCTGGTCCATTTCTCGCCAGCCCTGGGTGTCCCTGAGACATCTTTCCGAACAGACGGCGACACACACTTGGGTGCACATGTGCTCAAGTGTAGACACACACACACACACACACACACACATACACACGCACACACACACAGGCTGCCCAGAGCCCTGCTTGCTCCTGTGAGGTTTGTCCTTCCAAAGCCTGAAAGCTGGCCACTAGGCTTCCCCCCCCCCCCCCCCCCCCAGCTCCCATCTCATGCCTCATTCATTTGCTGACAACCATTTCTCACTCCACCATGTCTCTGCTTCTCCCCATCTCTCCCGGCTTCTCTGTCTCTGTTTCCGCTGAGCCGGCATCTCTACCATCTCTTTCCCCCCTCTCTCTGTGACTGTCTCTGCCCTCACCAGCTGCCTTGCTCTGGGGTGAGTTTGTGGTTTGGGGCCGTCCAGTGAGGGAGGGTGGTGACTAGATGGGTGAATTGGGGGGGGATGGGGGAGGTGGGCACGGGCAGGGATGGGAGGTGTGGGGTCTAGGCCTGGGGCTCCCCGGTTAAAGCAGTCCTCCGAGCGTAGCAGAAGGAGGTGCCGAGGATTTGGATGGACCTTGATAGAGCAGCCAAGCTAGAGGAGGGCTCCAAGAGGTGGCGAAAGCCCCTTCCGTGCCTTCCTGGAGAGACCCCGAATTCGGTCTCAGCTAGGGCACTCACGTCTCGTCCTTTCCTGGCCAGAGAGGAATCTCCAGGCTCGTGGCCGGGGGCAGGGACCATCCGACTGGAGCAGGATGTGTTCTCAGCCCTGGCTGGGCAGGGCCAGATCTACGTGCACCTCACCGAGGGTATCTGGAGCCAGATCAAGTCTGCAGGGTATGTGGGGGCTGGGGAAGAGCCTGTGCCTCGGATCTGGAGGCTCTAAGGGTGGCCTTGGGATGCTAGGCACAGGCCCTGCTGGACCCTGAGTGCCTCACCCTCCCTTTTCGGTCCCTAGCTCAGCCCTCTATGCCTCCCGTCTCTATCTGAGCCGATACCAGATCACTCACCCGGAACGGCTGGCCAAACACACTCCCGGGGGCCCACGAATCAGAGGTACCCACCCCATCCCATCATTACCTATCACTCTCCCACGCCCTTGTAGCCTACACTCTTCACCTCGGGTGCGGAAGTGGAGACTCAGTCTCTTCCCCTCCCTGTCCAGATGTGTTTTGGGGTATCTGCCCCCAGGTTGTTTCTTCTGCTTCTAGGAAATGTTTACATCCATCCAACTGCTAAAGTGGCCCCGTCGGCTGTGGTAAGATCTGGCCCCAGCCTCAGGGAGAGGCTCTGCGGATTGGTGGGGATCCCCAGGGACTGAACTCAGATGCCGGTCTGTCTCTCTGCCTTGGTACACCTGTTTTGTGGCCTTGAGCACCCCCACATCCCCACTCTCATGGTATGATGGTCCGTCCTCTCCACAGCTGGGCCCCAACGTCTCCATTGGGAAGGGGGTGACGTTGGGCGAGGGTGTACGTCTGCGAGAGAGCATTGTCCTCCATGGAGCCACTCTGCAGGTAGGAACCGGGCACGGAGTAGTGTGTGGTACCCAAAAAGCTGAGGGAGAGGGCCCAGGTACGCCTCCCAGGGCGAGAAGGGCGAGCCCCACCCCCAGGCTCTGCATCCCCCCACCCCCATCTCCCGCCTCCCACTCTACTCACCCAAAACCCATCCTATCCGACAGGAGCACACCTGTGTCCTTCACAGCATCGTGGGCTGGGGGAGCACTGTGGGGCGCTGGGCCCGCGTAGAGGGGACTCCCAATGACCCCAACCCCAATGATCCCCGAGCTCGCATGGACAGTGAGAGCCTCTTCAAGGATGGAAAGCTACTTCCTGCCATTACTATCCTGGGTATGGTTCGTGGGGGGCTGGGGGTAAGGGCTGGGAAGCTCCACAGGTGACGGACGGCGGTAGGGAACGTGTGTGTGTGTGTGTGTGTGTGTGTGTGTGTGTGTGTGTGTGTGTGTGTGTGTGTGTGTGTGTGTGTGTGTGTTTTGTCACACACACGTGTTATTCTGTCAGCAAACATTTACCAAGCTCCTGCCATGTACCCAGCCCACATGAGTCACTGGGGGATGAGACCAGGGCGGGGGCACAGGTGGGCAGCAGGGAGGACTCCCTCTTGATGGCCTGGCCATGGCCCCAGCTCCTCCCCTGCCCCAGTACCTCTCATGACCTGCTCCTGGTGACCTTGCCCACGCTTCAGGCTGCCGCGTCCGGATCCCTGCCGAGGTGCTCATCTTGAACTCGATTGTTCTGCCACACAAGGAGCTAAGTCGAAGCTTCACCAACCAGATCATCCTGTGAGGGTGCTGCCTCACGCGCACCCCCCCCCCCCCCGGACTCCCGCTCGTCTTCCTCCGGGCTGCGGCCTGCCTGGCCCGCTCCGTCCAGAACGGGATCTGAGGAAACCAGACGGAATCTTCCCTTGCAGGGAGCCACGTGTGTGGCCAGGGACGTCTGGCCACCCTCTCCACCCCCAAATAAACCCCTATGAACCTTGGAGGCAGCTTGGACTCCGCTTGTGCCTGGGCTGGGGGTGGCGGGGACAAGAGGGGCAGCTGAGTCAGGCCCCCCCACATTAGCATTTAAATTGGAGTCGTTGCTGCTGCTTCATGAATAATGAATCCAGAGCCTTGGTAAATCTCCCCCTCCCACTGCCTCGGCCTTCTGCGCTAGCTGCTTTAGACGAAGGCCCTCCAGGCTCCCTGGCCTGCTGGCCCCCTGACCTTCGCCCTGCCTGCCTGCCTGCCTGCCTGCCTCCCTGGGCCTGGCTCTCTAGAATGCTGAGAGAACGCTGAAAGGATTTCAGTGAGCACACTTGCTGGGAGGCTGGGGCCCAGGCTGAACACCCAGCAGCCTGCTCTCAGCTCCTGCCAAGACCCAGCCCTGGCCTGTTTAACGCTTTGCCAGCTCCATCTGCTCCCAGGCTGGCTTTGGGGAGCTGGGGGTTTTGCCCCCACCCAGGGGTCTTCCAGGGTCTCTCTCCCACTCCTCTGGCAGAGGTCTCTGGTCTAGGAGGTGCCTTGTTACCCCTTGACAGCCTGATACCTTCTGGCGGGTCATAGCCTGGCTCTTCCCACGTCTCTCGTGTTTGCCCGTGACCCCAGAGTGCCCCTCTTGGCACCCCCTTTCCGCAGCTGTGGGTGCTGAGCTTAGTTGCCAGATGAGCTGGTAATGATCGTAATCTGCTAATTGAGAGGAATCTAATTACCCGAAGAGAATAGGGGGGCAGGGTTTGGGTGGGAGGCAGGAGGGGGTCCTGGCAGCCAGCTTGGGTGGCAGGCAGGAGGGTGTCGGGGCCTTGTCAACAACAGGGTCTGGGACAGAGCCCAGGATATCATAGCTTCCTAGACAGGCAGTTAGAAAGGTAGATGGGAGCTAACCCAAGAGTGACCTGGGGACTAGCCTAGGTACGACCTCCCAGGTCCCGAGGGCTGAGATAGCCATGGGAGATGACCAGGTCTTAGCAATCCTAACCTGTAACCTGCTTCTCCCCAGCCCTTCCCTGGTTCCTTCCCAATCTGCCTGCAGCTGAGACCTATCACCGCCATCAGCAGAGGGTTGCAGACCCACTCAGTCTGGGGTCACCTCCCTAAGGAAGGGGCTAGGAGAGGGTTGGACCACGGGGCCGGGCTCTGGGTCCCTTTCCTCTCCTCCCCCTATCCTGACCCTTCTGTTCCAAGTGGTTGGCAGAGGCCATGGCAGCTCCATCATAAATATGATAATTTAATTATTTTCTCAGCAAAACACCGTGAAATCCAATAAGTCTGTGTCAGGCCCCGGCCCCCGGGACCCCCCTCCTAGACCCGGTGGGGGTGGAGACATGATGGCTGGAGACACTGGAAGGGGAAAGGGTCAGTGTTTGAAGGTGGGGTGCGACAGGGACGCTGGCCCCTTCAAGACATTCCTCGGGCTGAGGGGGTCACCCGTGCAAAGGGTCTTAACGGTAAGGGACGATGCCCCCACTTCTCCCCAACACTGAGAGGAGCCAAGACCCCATCTGTCTACGGGGGCAGCTCACACCCCATATGTGGGAGCATTCTGAAGCCTCAAGAGGTTAGCAGGGAACCCCCTCGTCTGCCGCTCTGGGACCCTGCACCCAACCTTGGTCTCATGGAGGAATAGGTGTAGGAGGGTATCGGCGGCTCAGGGATGGGTTTGAGAAAGGAGAAACCAGGAGGAACTGGGGTGGGAAGTTGGGGGGGGGATGAGCAGGGGGAGGGATGCGGGGGAGGGGTACGCTCCTGCCATTAGTGCTTTTTTTTTTTTTTCCCCAGTTTCCATAAAAAGATTATTCTGTAAAATCAGTGAAGGGGAGCGAGCTGGGGGCCAGGGAGGGGGGTGGGCCCCTGGCATCCAGCTGGATGGGGCAGGAGAGGAGACAGGGGAGGAGAGCTGAGGACAGGGACTGAGTGTGGAGGAAAATTTTGGATGGGCTTCATGAGCAAGCAAGGCAGGGTGAGCCAAGAACACTGAGTGGGGAGGGGGGCTGGTCAGAGCCGGGTTGGGGGAGGCAGTGCCCTCTCTCATTCCTGCCCTTTGGCTGGGGTTGCCCAGGGCCCAGTCCTACCTCCTCCGTCTTAGTTCCTCCCCCCTGGCACTTAGCAGCCATTATGGGGGAGCAGATTGCAGCCCCCCTCCCCCTCTCTGGGAAGCAGGCACAGCTGGGGCCCGCCACATCTGCCGCATCAGCACACGGAACACAGCTGGGTGTGCCCAGAGCCATGCTCCCCAAAACACAAAGAGGGCGGGAACACCAGGAGAGCCCGGACCCCTGAGATAGACACACTGTCACCCCTGCCAGCAGACACTCCTCAAAGTGAAGCAACACCCACCAACACACGCTCCCTCCTGTGCAGAGACTGAGAACTGGCAAACACGCAATTACCCAGCCCCGCCTGCCACCCCCGCTCCTCTCCTGCAGCCCCCTCTCTTTCCCTTCCTTCTCCCTAAGGCTGCTTTCTGTCGCCAAGGCCATCCCTGAATTGTCCTAGGCTAGGTGTGGGGGAGCAGGGGGTCTCATTGGCACCAAGAACACCCTTCTAGTAGGGAGACGGATGGTCAGGGATGCCTCGGGGTCTCACCCTGGGAAGCCGCTTACCCTTATCCCAAGATTGTACCCCTTCCCAGAAGGAGGCCTGCCCATAAGGAGGCCTGCCCACAGACGGGGTCTCCATGCCACTGGACCACCAATGACCTATTCCCGTGGCTCGCCGATGTTCCACCGGCCACCGCAAGGAGGCGCTGTGTGCTCTCAGTATCTCCAGACCTGTTCTGAGCAGCTCCAGGGGCCAGCCTCTGCCAACCCTATTATCCCGTAGTCCTCTACTCTGCTCAGCTCATCGCTCGGCTTAGCTCTGCCACCCCGGGCGTGTGTGGGGTGTCGGATTCTGCCCATAACAGGAAAGTCCTCCTTCCCAGAACGGATGATCAAGAGTTTCTTCTCTCTCCTTTTCCTGGCTAATAGCCCCTGATTAAACCTGCCTCCTCAAAGACCTCATTTCGGCGCTCTCGTCTCCTTGGCCGGGTGTCTTGCCCTCAACTCTCTCCTCCCTGCCCCCTCCCATCATCCCACACGGCACCCGCCGCCCCCCCCCCATGCCCCTCGGAGCTTTAATCCCTCCTGCTGCCTTGCCGCCTTATCTGCTCCCAGCAGCTTTCGCTGCTGCAAAGCCCTCCCCCCCCTCCTTCTCGGGATCTTCCCTCTCCTTCCTGCTCTCTGACCAGCGCCCCCTCCTGCCCAGCCTCTCTGTCACTCAGATCCCCCCGACTCGGGGCTCCCTGGCGGACACCAGATCAGTGCCTGACGGCCCTGTGCCCTCTCTCCAGGATGCTCAACCAATTCCCACTCTTTCTCTTAGCCCTCTCCACTGACCCCTCAAACTTCGCCCGGCTTCTGGCCAGTCAGGATTTGTATCTTTTCTGCTTCCTGGTCTCCCTTTCCAAGTCCCCTCCCTGGCTCCTCCAGATTCCTCGCATCTTGGACCCCAACCTCTCCATTCCTGGTGGCCAACGACCTCCGCTTGAGAATACCCAAATAGGGATAGATGGTATGAATGAAAGGCAGAGGAGCATGGGCTTCCCTGGGATAGCCCAGGGAGGGCCTTGCGCGCGGGGTGGGGTGGGGGTGGGGGGTTGCATGGAGTACTGGTGACAATTGGGGGCAGGGCCTGACGGTGGGACGCTAACCCTCTTCAGTTGCCTCAGATCACGTCCGGGCCTCCCCATCCCCCTTCGCCGGGACTCTCATTAACCGCTTCTCCTGCCTCGTCCGTGGCATAAATAACCCAGATAAATCAGCCCGCCGTCCGCCCCCCGCCCCTCGGCCCCCGCACAGCCCGTTTGTCACCGCTGTTCGCTCGCCAGCCAGGCCTGGCCTGGCCACCCCCTCCTCCGCCCCCCCATCCTTGTCCCTTCCCGCCCACGTCTGTCCCACACTGGCTTCCCACCCCCTGGTCAGCACCAGGTCCAGGTTTCTGAGCTGGGGCGGGTGGCAAGGAGGTGTCCCCTTGGGATCAGGAGGCTGGGGATTCGATCTATGAATGCTCCTTAAGAGTTCAAAGGTCGTGCTGTTTATGGATAGAGCCAGCCAGCCAGCCGGGGAGTCAGGAGCCCACAAATGACAGGAAGGAGCAGGAACCGCTTCCTTTGGGGGCGTCCCTGGGCTGTGAAGAGGTTCCCTGAGAACCCCTTCAGGTTCAGTCCCGGGAGGCCTGGGTCTCCCCTTGGGGACATTTTGCTCAAGTAAAAACTCTAAGCATCCTCCTCCCAGTACCCACTAGCTAATCCGTCCTGCTCTCCCTGTGGCCTCCACCCCTTTCCCGGCATGCCTAGCACAGAGTACTCCAACCTCAGCTTCCCTATCTCGCTACCCTTCTCTTTCCTATTTTCAGGAAACCTAATCCGCATCCCAGGGCAGGGAGAACTGGCCTGTGAACAAATCTGAGAAATGGGGATAATTGGAGGGTGGAAGAGTCTGAGCGGGGCTCACATCCCTGCCTGAATGGCAGCCCCGTCCCCACACACCCAGCTCCGGGATCCCTAGAAGCCCCTCCCCCTTGCTCACCACCAGTTTAGGTCCTGGCCGGCCCCCTTCAGCCCTCTTTCCCCTCCCTGGCAGGGGCAGCTGGTCCCCAGGGAATGGGTGAGAGGAACGGGGAGGGGCTGAGGGAGCCGGGGCGCAGGGCTGGGGGTGGGGGTGGGGAAGAAACTGGGCCGGGCCCCAGGGACCAGCTGGGCAATGAGCCGGGGAAGCTGCCGGGAGGCTAAATGAGGGAGATTATCACCCAACTGCAGCCGGGCAGAGAAGGAGGCAGGCAGGGAAGCAGGGAGAGAGGGGGGGAGAGGGGACAGGGCCAGAGGCGAAGGGGTGTGGAGGGATAGGAAGGGGGCCAGAAGGGGCTGGGGAGGAGTGAGTGGAAAACACCAAGAGATGGGCTGGAAGGATGGGGGCCCCCACTGAGCATAACCGGATTCCTAGAGGTCTGGGAGACTGGATTGTAGGGACTTGGGGACAATTAGAGACAGCTGGCCACCGGGCAATGGTGGGAGTCTGCATGCAACAAACTGCTGCTTCATTCCGGTGGCCTCGAGTCCCCCCCCACCCCACCCCCACACAAACCCCAGTTACCACCCAACCTCTTTCCTTTTAGAGGTGGAAGGGTCCCTGCTGACCTGAAGAGGGGAAGAGGGTATTATCTGGGCTCATGATGGAGGTCAATGTGCGGTGGAGACAGCTTGACCCTGAGATCTCAGCAGATAGCCAGGTATTCAGACAGGATGTCAGGGCGGTAGGGAGTGTGCTGGGGAGAGATTGGGGGGCAGCTCCCACTCTCTTGGCAGAGCCCCAGACTGAAGTAACCTAAAAAAAAAAGCAATTAAATCACCTTTTTAAAAAACCCAGTAAAGAAAAATCGATATTGGGAGAAAAGGGAAAAGAGAGGAGGGAAGGAGGAATAGTGTGCTTGTAGCTCCAGGTGGGGGTGGGGGGCTCTGGAAAGGTCTGGGGGTCGAACAGGGAGCGTATGGGAGAGTACTGCCAGGATATGGGGTGGAGAGGGAGCTGTCGGCGGCCACTTGGACCCTTGCATAGGAACTCGGCACCTGCTGCCAATACCAACTCGACTTTCTCCTGCTGTGTCCCAGCCAGAAGCAGCCGGAACCTGTCCCCAGAGGTCGTCTCTCCCCAGCTCTGGGAGCCTGCTGACCTAGACTCATGGGAAGCCTGTGGGGGAAACCCAACTGTGGGGCCCTGGGAAGCCACTTTGCTGAAAGATTGGGGACATCTAGTTAGAGCACCGTGCATGGCTAGGACTCGGGTGTGTGTGGGTGGATTCCACACAGGAGTGACCCTCACTTAGGGGTCTGACCTCGCCTTGTTGCCAGGGTGGGTTGAGCAGCAACCTGAACCCAAGGGGAGCCACACTTGGGACCCTCCCTCAGGGCCAGGCTGAGACTGCGGGGCCAGCCTGACGCAGGGGAGGGGTGGCCGCTGGGCAGCGCGTGGACCTCGGGCTCTAATCCCCAGCAGCTGCCGTTTCCCTCAGATCGATTCCCTTCTCACTTTTTTTTTTTTTTTCAGCTGCTGGTTCCGCGGCTTGGATCGATGGAGCCGCCTCCCCCTCCCCTCTGAGCTTCCTCTCCCTGCTGCTCATTAGCGCCCCGATTAATCAGCCCCCCCTTCCTCCCCAGGACAAGTGCTCCCTCCCCCCATGAGGATTCACACTTTCACATGCCCCTTGGAGGGGGGGCACAAGTGGACTATTCTTGCTACCCCCCAGAGGGAGGTACCAATGTATCTGCCTCTGTGAACCAAGAGGGGCTCCTACCTCCTCTTGTGGTGATGGTCCATGGGTCTGAGTCCTCCTCCAAGGTAGCAGCCTGCAGGGCTCCCCTGCCTGGCTCTCCCGGGGGACAGGACATCCTTGGCACCATATTTCCTTAGTTTAGCATTTCCATTAGAGCCCCCACTCACCTTCCCACTCCCTCTAATAACCCCCCGTGGGCTCTTCATTTCCTTCTCCCCTGCCTTTGCGCTCTTTGCTCCCTGGTCTGGCACCTCCAGCTGCCCTCCTTTTCCCCAAGCCGGGTCATAGCAAGGGATTTGGAGCCTACAAGGCTAGCAAAGTGGCCACAGATGAGCACGTCGGCCAGGGTGGCCGCTGCTCCAGTCACAAGAATGGCTAGAACTGGGACTGGGGACAAAGTCAGAGAAAGGGACCCACCGGTGCCCCTCCTGGAACGGGTAGGGGTGTGGCGGGTGTTGGAATCAGCAGCAAGGCTCTAGGGAAGGAGAGTCCCGGTGAAAACCACAGCTGTCCTTTTTATCTTGCTTGCCCATCCCTTCCTTCCTTCCCTCCCTCATTCAAACAAGTGGCTCTCTCAAGGAGTTTCTGGAAGCTGCTGTGAGTGGGGCAGTGAGATCAGCTGAGGCTGGAGTCAGGGAAGCCAGGAGCTGGGGGACAGAGTTGGTTGACCCTTCGTGGGGTGTGGTCCAGAAAAAGAGGCAAGGAGGGAGTGGGCTGAGCCCTCTGAGCATAGATAGCACCATTCCCTGGATGGCCTGAGACTGGACTCTCTGGGAGCCCCCACAATTGACTAAGGTACAGCGAGAGTTTCAGAAGCACCCTCAATACTGGGCTCTCCATCCTGGGCTGGGGTAGGGCAGGGCGGGGGGGGGGGGCGTTTTCCCTCCCTGGCCTGGCTCCTGCCTCCCGTGCCAGTGCCCGACGGTGAAACGCTGTTGACATGTCCTGAATTATTAAGCACGGGGTGGGCTCCAGAGCACATGCTGAGCGGAGCGGCTGGGGCTGCGCGGCGGCGTGGCGGAGCAACGCTTGCTCCCTCGCTCCCTCGCTCGCTCGCAGGGACACACGCAGGGGCTGACAGCTGTGCTGGTGCTGATAAGGGAAGCCACAAGGAGACGATCGAGGAGAGAGACAAGCAAGCGGCAGCAGAGGCAGCAGCGGCAGAGGCAGCGCCGGGGCTGCGGAGCCGCTGGGAGTGGGAGTGACGCCCCCACCTCGGGCCCCCACCCTGTCCCCATCCTCCTCCTGATTGCCCTGAGTTTTAGAAGAGCAGCCGCTGCCGCCACCGCCACTCCGGAGGGCACCAGGGCTGCTGTCCAGGGAGAGACAGTAGCAGTGAGGCTCTGGCCAGTCCCAGCAGCCGGGGACAGATGCCGATCGAGATTGTGTGCAAAATCAAATTTGCTGAGGAGGATGCAAAACCCAAGGAGAAGGAGGCAGGGGATGAGCAGAGCCTCCTGGGGGCTGCCCAGGGGCCAGCAGCCCCTCGGGACCTGGCCACCTTTGCCAGCACCAGCACTCTGCATGGGCTGGGCCGGGCCTGTGCCCCAGGCCCCCATGGACTGCGCAGAACCCTGTGGGCACTGGCCCTACTCACCTCACTGGCTGCCTTCCTCTACCAGGCAGCCAGCCTGGCCAGGGGCTACCTGACCCGGCCTCACCTGGTAGCTGTGGACCCTGCTGCCCCGGCCCCAGTGACGGGCTTCCCGGCTGTCACCCTCTGCAACATCAACCGATTCCGGCATTCGGCACTCAGCGACGCTGATATCTTCCACCTGGCCAATCTAACAGGGCTGCCCCCCAAAGACCGGGATGGGCACCGTGCAGCTGGCCTTCGTTACCCAGAGCCTGACATGGTAGACATCCTCAACCGCACCGGCCACCAGCTTGCCGACATGCTCAAGAGCTGTAACTTCAGTGGGCACCGCTGCTCCGCCAGCAACTTCTCCGTGGTGAGTTCTTCTAGCCGGGCCACCTCAACCTGGGGTGGCCCAGAGGCTGAAGTGGGGCGTGGGGGGTGGAGGGTGGTTCTTGAGGGCATCCTCAACAGGGCTTCCCTTCCTTCTGCCACCACAGGCAGGCCTCGTGTCTCCCCCAGCTGGTGTTTCCCTCTGGCTCCTCACAGCCCTGGAGCCGTGGAAGCTCAGAAGGGCTTACCCTCAGTGGTACAGCTCCTCTTCAGCTGCTGATGCTGATGCTGCAGTGCTCAAGCTTGGGGGGCCAGGGGCATCCCTGGGGATGGGCTCAGGGTCCTGAAGCTGGTCTTCATCCCAAGGCCAGACCGACTGAGCGCTACTTTGCTCTTGTTCTTCTTTTCTTCTGGGGCTACCGGATTCTTCTTCTTCCCAGCAAATGAAAGTGATGGGGGAGAGGGTTGCTGGAGGGGAGAGGTGTCCCCGTCAAAGGAAGGACTCAGGGCTGCCTTCTGGGGAGCTGGCCCAGCCCGCCAGCTGGATGGAGATGGTCTTCGTGTATACTGGGTGACAGTCTCTTCCGTCTCTGTGTCTTTCACACACGCCCCTTCACAGCCGCCCTCACACATCCCTCTTTCATGCTCCCCTTGGTCTTCCCTGCTTGCCAGGGCCCCCACCCCCCTCCAGCCCCTGTTCTTGCTGCTCCCTTGCCTGGCTCGGGCTCTCACACTGGGAATCACTCATTCCCTCTCTGTGCATAACTCACCCTCAGAGCTGGCACATGAACACACACACACACACACACTCCTACTGCTCAGGGACACAGTTTCCTTGCATACTCCCTGTCATGCACATTCAATGTCCCTGTCACTACACCCATATGCACACCTGCACACCCACACTCCCAGAGAACTATTCATTCCATGCCTGTACCCCAGCTCACAGCTGCCAAGGATGGGGTCATGCTTGGGATGCCATTCCGCTCCCGACACCAACCCTCCATCTGCCCCAACCTCTTCCCTCCATTCTCCAGGCAGGGACAACTGTCACCGCCGCCCCCATGTGTGTGAAGACAAACACATGTACCCATACCAGCAGCGGAGCATCAGCTCTGCCTGCTCTGCCCGCACATCTCCCACAGTCAGGTGTGTGAGTGTGGAGGGTGTGTCTTGGCCTCTGTCAGGTCTATCAGGGTTCCTTTCATCCACATTCCCAAGCTAGTAGTCACCATGTGCTTGAGATGCCTGTCCCCAGTTCCTAGTTGATGTCTGTCTTTATGTATGTATGTGTGTGTGTGAGGTTTCATCCTTGTGGCTATGGCCTGGTGTATGAGCAGATGTGTGGTGTTAACCTGACGCCCATCACACCCGGCCTCCAGCAGCAATGGGTACTTTCCCTCTTAGGAGCCTGGCTCCCTATCCACAAGCTCGCCTCACTGCCTCAGTGTTACCAGGAAACCTGCATCAACCAGGTTCCTGGCCCCACTGTGTCTGCAGTGTCTAGGGCCTCTTGCTTTGGGGTTGTGTGGGTGGGTTCGGTGGGTGGGAGAAATTAACATGAAAAGGGGGCAGGAGGGAGGAGATTGTACCAGGAGTGGAACTAGGGAATATCAGCCTGTTGTCTGGCTAAACACTCTGTCTTCTAGGAAAATGAAATACTGCTCTCCAAAAAAAACCAGAGCTGGGGGAGTCCCTACAAAGGAAGTGGTGTGGAGAGTGTGAGCGTGGCCTTTGGGATCCACGGGACTCCTGTCTTGCAGTCTCACCCCTCTGCGATGGGGGTGGGGTGGGGGGGAAGAACTCAGTCTCAGCAAGTGTTGCCAGGGCAGAAATCAATGGGGTCTTTGTGTCCCTGAGTTTGTGTCTTAGGCTCCAGTTGGGGTGGACAGGAAAAGGGAAGGGTAAAGATGACACACGCCAATGGAGGAGAGATGGAGGGCATTTAGGAAGTGAGCGGGAGGTGACAGAGGGTTTCTGTTAGGATGAGAAGAGCCCAGAGAACACAGCGGGCAGGGATTCCCTTGATCCAAGCTGAGAGTCCCTGGAATCCTGGGAATAACTGGGGTGGAGGTGGGGTGGGGGAGTCAAGGACAGCTTTCCCTAGGTCCTTTGGTACTCTGGGGCTGGAGACAGGAGGGTCAAAGCTTATGGACCTCTTCTATGGGGCTGTCCCAGGAACATCAGTGCAAGTCGGGCAAAGCGAGCACTGGGGGACAGAATTCCCCCCTTTGGGGTTCTTGTTCCCCGGTGCCCACCTTAGCCAAGACTCAGCCTCCTGCCCACACCCCATCCTCCACCTGCTGCATGTAATTCCTTCTGGACCTGGAGTACTTGGTTGAGTCTGAGATAGTTGGGAGCTGGGCTGGGGCTCATGGCGATGGAGAAGGTTGGATGCGTTGCCTGGGTGAGGCTGGGGAAGGTGAGGTGGAAGGGAAGGGGAAGGAGGACTCCAGGCCCCTGGTGAGGACACGAGGTCCATAATCAGCTCTGCGGTGAGGGTGTGGGCTGCATGATGGGGATTTGAGGGTCTTTGGTAAGGAGATGAAAATTGGAGCCCGTTGGGGTAGCGCCTGCCCCCGGAGTGGGTGGTGGAATGGTCAGTGACTGTGACAGACAGGCTTCGGTAAGGGACTGTGATGTGTTTTCTGTTGCTTTCCCTGTTTCCTCCTTCCCACTCCCCACTCTGCTGTGACCTTTCCTCCGGAATCCAAGTTAATAAATGTCACATTTTCCAGCCTATTTTTACTCTGGGTAATGTGCCCTCCCCCAGTCCCCCAAGCTTCTGCTCTTGCTGCTGGTACCACTGAAATCACTCTCACCCCCATGCTCCCAAATATCCCTTCCCGTTTACTCCTAGGCAGGCACTCAGAATGCTCGCCGCTCTGTGTGCCTGCACACACTGGGTCCTGGCTAGGACCTGGGGGGGGCAGTAAAGAAGGGACACCCTAGTCCTCAAACCCTGTCCTCAAGATGCCTTCAGTCTCACGGAAGAACAGGGACAGGGATGCTCAAAAGCTTAAGCAACCATGCAAGAGTTAATCAGCCATGCAAGCAATGTCATAAGGTGCCAGGATTAATTGCCAGATGAGGCTCCTGGATGGTAAGAGCCCGAGTTCAGAGAGAGAGAGAGAGAGAGAGAGAGAGAGAGAGAGAGAGAGAGAGAGGCCACTCTGGGCTAGGAGGGCTAGGAAGGCTTAAAGGATGAGGCAGCCTGACTGAGATTCAGAGAGGAGAGAAAGAGCGACATGGTTTCTGAGGTGCAACGCTAGGACCATTTCCACACACACCCCATCCTCCACGAAGGCCCCTGGCTCTTCTCTTCCCTTTTCTCCTTCACTCAGGCTCACACCAGCCCGTTCCCACTTCTATCTCATGCTCTCATCACCACTCCACTCCCCGACACTGTAGAGGGCTCCCCCTCCCTTCTCCATGCCACTGTCCCCCAACTGTGTGCCAAGCCCCAGTTCGACCTCCCTCATCATGGCTCACTCGCAGTCTGTCAGCTTGGTGGGAGGCGATTGCTTTCTCCCTAGCCTCCCTTGCTTGATCTGTACAAAGCAAAGGTGTCTCTAAAAGGCAGCATCTCCTCTCAGCAGGGGGACTGCACACCATGTGTGCGCTCCGGAGCTGTCTGATCGCGTGGACTTGAACCTCGGTTCTGTTCAATTCCGCGGCCTTGGAGGAAACCAAAAGGCTTCCATGAGCATCCATTTGTGTATTCATTACATAGGCTACGGGGAGGTGGTGAGGGCAAGCTGCCCGGAAAGAGTTTCGCACACTGCCTGGCATGCGCACAGTATACACTCAGCAAGCGTCAGTTGCCACAAACACCACCACCTCAGCTCCTGACCGTCCTGTCCTTTAACCTCGCTGCTCTCAGCATCACCCCATGGTTTCTGATCCCTGCTCCAGAACAACACTGCTTGCCATTCCCTAGTCTTCCCCCCCCCCATGTAGCTCTCAGACGCTCACGGTCCTCTCTGCAGTCATAGCCCTCCCAAGCAAGCATGCACATGTACATATGTGCATTATACTCTATAGGTCAGGGTTAGATGATTAAACCTTCTGTGGTGATGGAAAGAAACCTCCCATGGACTACCGTTGTCGGACGCGGTAGTCACTAGGCATGCATGGCTGTGGAGCATTTGAGATGTGATCTGGTATGTGCAACTGGTACATGCTGGACAACATTACTGGTGAACAAGGTTCAGATTGCCTGGCCGAGGCAGGGCTAGAATTACTGATGGGACTAGAGGATACACTTACGATGATGTTTTGTGGGCTGCGATTAGAAGCCAAGCTGAGGTCCCAGATTAAGCTGAGGATGGAGCCAGTGTCTTGGGGTTGGAAGCTTTGGGGTGTCTAAAAGCATCCTGTGAATGCAGATACTTCTTTTCCTAGAGGCAGACACGACCTTGGTCTCTTCTCTTCCATGCCCCTGCCTGAAAACTGTGGCAGGAAGGAGGAGGGAATCCCTTAGCGGGTAGGGGCAGGGCCCAGCTCCTGGTTGTAGGACTCCCCAGGGTCAAGGGTGCAGACAGCCCCTAGAAGGGTAGGAGACCAAGGCCCCGTGGGTACCTCACTGTCTCCATCCCCTCTTGGCTCTCAGGCTTCCCTCCCCCTCCCAATCCTCCTTCCCCACACGCTGGTGACTGCCGTGACTATTAATCACTCGCCCTGTTCTCTTCCTCTCTACTAATCAGGCACAATTAGACAAGGCCTCTTCCAGCTGGGCAGTCCCCCCTGCCCTCCCCCTCCCCTCACAGCCCTCCCCATCCGCTACCCAGGACAGCTCTGAGGCAAGGAGGACTTCATGCAAAGCCCTCTGCTACTCTGGTTGCCCTGACCCCCAGTTTGGGGCTTTTCAGGGAACCTCCTCTTTCCATCCATTTCCGCCTTAGTTCCCACACTCTTGTCTAGTGTGGTAGTCAGGCCAGTATTGGCAGGCTGTACCTCTGACCTCCTGCCATCGGCTATAGAAGGGGCTATCCCATGCTCACTTCCCAGCTCCAGACCTTCCCTATAACCCCTTGGCTCTAGAAAGGGGGACATTCCATCTGATGTGGATCCAGGCCTTTCACATGCCAGACGAACTTTGTTAACTCTGCCTGAATCCCCTATCTGGTCCTCTGTCCCTACGGTCCCATTATGTCCTGAGGTGTGAACCTCGTACACATTTAGTGAACATCTAGTTGAGGGCTGCTCTTGCCTTGGGGAGTCGGGCGGGTGGAATCCGTGAAAGCAAGGTAGTGAAGGGTGGGATCTCAGCCTCAGCTCTCGCTAACTGCTGCCCTGTGTGAGGGTGTCAGTATGCTTCTGTGGCATCAAAAGAAGCCCCAAATCTAGTTGCTTTCAATAAAAAAAATCCCCTGATTTTAACAACCCTGTAGGCTGCCTACAGTTCAGATTGCAGAGCCCGGGTGGGTACTGCACACCTCTTACTTGGCACTGGCTGCTGCTCCTCCAGTCCGCCTGGAGGTGGCGCTCTCAGTCTGGCTGCATTGGCAGTGAAGTTGGTGGACACTGTTAGGGAATTATGCCTACAAGGAAGGGCAGGGGAAAGCATCACAGAGGGCCGGTCTTCAAGGGCAATGGGGAGGGTCGTGAGAGGCATGCCCCACCCGGCCCCACTCAAGAAGCCCTGTGGCCTCT